TATTGAACAACATTGATACATAAGATCTGCTGATCCTCTCTCTCCTTATGTCATGACAACATTTCCATCTATTTTCACTTTCTTTTATCATTCTTGAGAGCCTCTGGCCTCCTTGCTGTGTTCCTCAAGTGTACTAAATGGGTCCCTGCTTCTGAGCCTTGGCACTTGCTCTTTTCTGCCTTTCTAGCCCTTCCTTGAGATAGCAAACATGGCTGGCTCCCTCACCTTCTGCAGGTCTTCCCTGATGACTCGCATTAAAATTGGGCCTTCCCCCAAATTCCTATTCTTTCTCCCTATTTTATCTTTCTATTTAGTTTTTAAAATTAACATACTCTATGATTCGGGTATTTATTTAGTATGTTGTCTATCTCACACACATGAAATTAAGCTTCCTGAGGGCAAGGATTTTTGTATGTTTTCTTTAGTGCTGCAATCCTTGCTCCTCAAACAAACAATTCCTGGCACAGAATAGATGCTCAATAAATAATTGTTGCATGGATGTATGAATTCTCACATCATTTTATTTAATGTTGCATGAATTTATGTTCTAAAATAATCTTTCCCATTCTTTGAAATAAATGTTGGTTATAAAACATGGTCTGATTTACCCACCGATGTGCACTATAGCATTTCATCAAATTAAAGACACCCTCAGTTATAGGCTGTAGAATATTATATTATTACTTTAAGTACCTGTGAGGTGGACAGTGGAGGTGGGGTGAGGAATGCTGCCCATTAAACTATGACACATCACTTTCAAGTTTTACTCTGCTATGAAATGTGTTCTTTTAGGTTAATAAACCTAATTATTTTTGTCAATTATTCCTCTTGTGTGTATAAAAAGTAAAATATAAGTGAAAAACATTGGAAACAGTGGTCAACGTATTCCTAAAATGTCCTCACATTTAGAGTCTGACTATCCTGTATCATTCGTCCTTTCAGAGTCCATCTTCTACCACACAATATCATCCTCTGTGGCATCAAGAGTGTTGGTGATATAGCATTTCTTAAGTGGGCTCCATTACTGTCTCCATGATTTTCTTCTAAGCCACATGTGGCCTGGCCAACAGGGATTGTAAAACTCATCCTTATTTCAGTGATGTTAATGTGATAAAATGTACAGCTTAGAATGGATGAAATTTAGTTAATTTGTACAGCCTCCTATCACTGACATAAAGAATCAGACTCCTGTGGCCGCTACCAAGTTGCTGGTTGTTTCAGGATTTTTTTTTTATTTAAGATACTTTTTTTTTTTATTTCAGCATATTATGGGGGTATAGATGTTTAGGTTACGTATGTTGCCCTTGCCCCCCCCAAGTCAGAGCTTCAAGCGTGTCCATCCCCCAGACGGTGCAAATATATCACTGTTGATGGACACTTGGGATATTTCCAATTTTTAAATGTTTAGCTAGGAATGTTTTTATTTTTTGATTCAAATTAACAAATATTTATTGAGAGTTTGCTATCTTCCA